GAAGAAGAAGAAGAAGAAGAAGAAGAAGAAGAAGAAGAAGAAGAAAAGAAGGAGATCTGAGAATGGCGGCTTGCACACTTCAGCCGGCCCTATAATCTTATATAGATGTTTACAAAGTAATGTTACAAGAATGGACTAGAATGCCCCTGATTAGTGATGGGGCACCTAGACATAAAAAGAATAAAACAAGTTTAGGCCCAATAACTAACATAAACACTAAACCAATTGAACCAACATATATGATATACATTCTCCAGCTTGAGGAGTGTTAAGTGGAAAGTAAACAGTGGTATTTTTGTCTTTATATTTATTTATTTGTTTTTTTGCCAACTTATGTAGGAGCAGATTGGACTTTTTATAATACTACTGAATGCCTATTTGTAGTGTCCAACCAGGTGAAACTCAATTTCTCTTCTATTCAAATCACGCTAAAAGTCTTCTCTCTTCTCTTCTCTGCGTAGGCAGCACCCATACCATATTCTGGTTTCAGAATATATTGCAATATAATACATATATTATAATTAATTATTTGTTTGCAGGTACAGGTCTGCGTCCAGCCTGCCCATGGTCAACCCTTGGGGCCCTCTATTTTGTTCTTGTTGGCCCAGTTCTTAAAATCTTAAGCATTGTAAATAGAGAAACCGTGGAGCCTAGACAAGACCCAATCACTGAAGAGTGGTCTATTAATTGTTTGTTTTTCTATAAAATTGTTATGATGGATATTGGGTACGACTGAATGCAATCATTACAGTCAAAACTTCTCTCTTATTCAGTACAATCTAAAGTATTTCTCTGAACAAAATCAGTACAATGAAAGTGTTATTTTTAAATTCTATTAATCATCAGTATCATGCATTATCCCAACTTTATGAGGTTGGCTACATGAATCCTGTTTTGCCAATCCATTCTATTTAAACCATATCCACTGCTAAACTATTAGTGCTTAAATCACTTGTTAATAATTTCAGATAATTGTAAAGTAAGTTTCTCTGAGTCAAAATTCAAGGCAGTCTTCAATTCTCTTGATAGGGATTGGAACATTTTGGAATTTCTTCATGGAGTAATTGTCCCATCTTTAACTGTTAATGTATTAACACTTTGGATTTCTTTTTAATAAATTATCAGGCACATGGAGTGATTGAGATGCCAAGTCCTCCTCCAGAGCTATTAATATTTGAACCTTTTATAGAGACCGATGAGATAATTGTTTCATCCAAATCGACAAATGGAAATGCACATCATCTCATATGGGAAGGGCGTAGTAGGTGGGTTGAAGTGACTGTTGGTGTTATGGGCAAACGTGGAGCTATGCACTCATTGACTCCTAGCATTACTGTCAAAGAAACTGGAGACATTTTATCACTTGAGGAGAAATTCCAGGGTTTGTGATTACCACATAGGTTCACTTAATTCATATTTTCATGGTTCTTTCTGGTTCCTAACTTTGCATGCATGTTATTCAATGCCAGAGTGTGGGCCTTCTATCTTCACAAATGAAACTTTTAAATCTTTCTTGATGCTTGATTGTGCTGTATGGATAAACAATAAAATGAAACATATATTAGCAAGGAAGTATACTGATGATCTCTCTCAGTTTTGGTTAAATCCTGAACAGCTGGAATTAACAAACACAATGAAAAATGTGATATAACTCATTTCTGAATTCTGTTTTCAGAAATAATGCTCTAGAACTAGTTCCAAGACCTTGGAGAGGCATATCTAAAATGTCCTAAGGTCTTGCTCTGTGCAAATATCTGCATGCTTATGTCAGAATCCAGAATGGGGGAGGAAGCACCACAAAAGGACCATTATCCAATAATGATCCTGGCTATCCACGGTCTTGGGAGGGGTAGACTAGAGATGTGGAGTTGCTCTCAGACTTGAACCTATTTTCCCATGCTTGTTAGTTTGAGATTTTACCATTGCACTGAAATGTAAATGGTTTTACCGTTGTTAATTAATTCATCCTAATAAAAGATATTTTTAAAGGACAAAGTTATAAAACCTTTTTCATAGGGATTAAGAATTTAAAACCCTGATATGGACTTGTTTGGGCTTGCCTCAAGGGTCTTGGTACAAAGGTAGCTCGTAGAATCAGGAATGCATAATGTTTAACATCACATTAACTATTTGAAGTAATGCAATTGAGAAAAAAATAAAGAGTTTAAGAGTTTACATGCTTGAATATGTTTTATATGTTATGCTTGATTTTATTTTTAAACTTTCATTTTAAATATGTTTTACATGTTATGTTTATGTATTTTAATTTGAGATAATAGGTTTTTTAAAACATTTATTTTTAAATTTAAGTTTATATTTTTAATTAATATTGTGTTTGATATTTTGCATTTTTTTATTTTTGGAATTTTTATTTTTTTAGCTTTTTTTTTTTACATTTTTGCGCTTTGGGCACAAAAGTACCCTTGCACTTTTAAAATACTGTTTTTTTGTAGGAATTCTATGTTGAGGACATAGTGTTGACATCTAATGAAAGCCAACCCCATATAATTGGCATAGGGCTTTGTTGAGTTGAGTTGTGTCTCCTAATATGACTATAATTTCCAAACACATTGAGTCTTAATAAATTACTTTTTTTTTATGAATGATAATAAATTTATTAATTCAGAAGCAGATTTAGAGTGAGTTCATACAACATCCCAGGGAGAGGCGCGAGCTGCAGCCCCTCCTTGAATCTTACAAGTAAACTAGGAAAGAAA